TTGAATCCCACCCCCTGCCCTGGGCAGGGACACCTCCCACCAGCCCAGGGTGCTCCAAGCCCCCTCCAACCTGCCCTTGACCCCCTCCAGGGATGGGGCAGCCACAGCTTCTCTGGGCACCCTGGGCCAGGCTCTCACCACCCTCACACCAAACAAGTTCTTCCCCAGATCTCATCTCCATCTCCCCTCTTTCAGGGTCAAACCCTTCCCCCTCCTCCTAGGGCTCCCCTCCCTGATCCACAGTCCCTCCCCATCTCTCCTGGAGCCCCTTGAGGGACTGGAAGGGGCTCTAAGGTCTCCCCGGAGCCTTCTCTTCTCCAGGTTGAACCCCCCCAACTCTCTCAGCCTGTCCTAGGAGAGGTGCTTCCTCCCTGACCTGGGTTCTCCAGTGGGAGAGGAGACACCAGGACTGCAGGAGGTGCCATCCTTTCTGCTCTGGTTGCCATTGCTGGAAAGGCTCCTCTGTGCAGGTGGGTGGCAGAGCCCTCTCCTCTCCTGCCTTTGTCCGGGGCAGTGTTTGCTGCTTCGCTCCTGCCCCCAGGACCCGCCTCCTTACCTGGCTGCCAGGTGAACCAGCCTCTCGGGGTTGATCTGTTGTTTCTCTGCAGAGAAAGGAAAGGGAAAGTTCAGTTTGCAAGCTTCAAAGTCAAATGGAAAAAAAAGCCTGGGTTTCAAGATGCTTTGCTTCTCCTTGAGGAAGGAGAGGAAGAGCAGAGGAAGAGCCTTAACACTGAACAGCACATGATGTCCCCATGGCACGACAGCTCAGTGAGCAGCTGTGGAAAAGCCCCACACGTGGCTCCCTTCTGCTTCTGTGTGCAGGAAACCTTCTGCAGAAGGGCTGGTACCCCCCTTTTTTGGGGGCTGGCTGTTACCTTGGTCAAAGTTGCTTGACCTTGTGCTCCTTGGGGAAGGAGAAATGCTGTGTCCTTATTGTACAAGTTTAGGGAAACTGAGGCCAGAGGGCAAGAAGTGCCTGCTGTCATGCAGATTTTTGGACCAGCCACCCCCTCTCTCACTGTTAAAGGTCTCCCCATCACAAGATGCTGGATCCCACCAGGCTGGACAGGCTGTGGCCACCTTGCTTGGGTGGCATCTCTTGGCCAGGGCATGTGTAACTGACTCCTTCCACATCGGGATAAAGTTATAGAGCACCAGCCTCAAACCAGTCCTCCTGCCTAGTCTGCCAGGTAAATTGTCCTAGGAGACATCAGCAGTTTAAATGAAGTGTCGGGTCTTGGTGCTGGGGCTGTTATTTAGAGCCAGATTGTTAACTGCAAAGCTGCAGGGAACATCTGATTGTCTTTAAAAAAGACAATAATAATCCTGTGTACTAAATCTCTCTCTGCTGGCTCTTGGTGAAGTGCTGGCGGATCGGGCGAGGGAAGGTGACAAACGGTAAGACCAGGGCAGGGCTTGGGGCAAAGTTCAGATACGAGCCCAGGGCCCTAGTTTCTTCCTGGGCTGGTTTGGGGCCGTGGTGGCTCAGTGCCCCGTGAGGTGCCCACAGCCTGGCCCCGGTGTGGTTCTGGTGCCAATAAACGCCCCGATAACAACGGCGTGTTATCAAGAGGCAGGGAGGGCCCTGAAACCAAACCCGCCCGTGTACCTGCCGTTGGGTTCCTCCTCTGCTTCCCTCAAACGGCTCCAGCAGCTTCTCCTGAGTGCTCCCTGCCCGGATCTCCGAGGAGGAGGTGAGTCCTGGCTTCTGGCTGCCTTTCAGCCCCGCTCCCCGGAGCCTCCCCAGCCTTCCTCCTCCATCCCTCTGCCCCCATCCTTACAGATCCACGGTTCAGGTGATTTTCCTACCCTGCACCCGTGTTTCTTTCCAGCTAAACCTTTCCATCTCTCCATTCTGTCAACAGCATGGAAAAGGGAATTGATGACTACTGGGACAAAATGCAATTTAAACAGAAAAGGGTTCATAATCCGTTGTAGTTATATCTACAACTTGTTTGCTGTTGACAACTTCTCATCTCTGGCTGTGCATGAGTATTGCTTCATGGAATGGTTAGAGCTGGAAGGGACCTTCATCCTTACAGATCCACGGTTCAGGTGATTTTCCTACCCTGCACCCGTGTTTCTTTCCAGCTAAACCTTTCCATCTCTCCATTCTGTCAACAGCATGGAAAAGGGAATTGATGACTACTGGGACAAAATGCAATTTAAACAGAAAAGGGTTCATAATCCGTTGTAGTTATATCTACAACTTGTTTGCTGTTGACAACTTCTCATCTCTGGCTGTGCATGAGTATTGCTTCATGGAATGGTTAGAGCTGGAAGGGACCTTAAAGACCATCAAGTTCAAACCCCCCCAGGTTGATTAAAGCACCATCCAGCCTGGCCCCATCCCAGCTCCTGGGAACACTGGGATTTATTTTTTCTTTAAATCCCTGTGAGGGTGCAGAGGGGGGGAAGAGACGGGTCTTTTCTTACCGACTGGTGGGAAATTCAGCCTCTCTGCCTCAAAACTGAAATTCTCAGGTAGTTGGGGAGATGGACAGATTCCTGCTTCCTCCCCCCCAGTGCTAGAGATGTCACTGCAATTAAAGGGAAGAAAATAGTTTCTTTTTCTCTGTGTGTATGTGAGAGATCTCTTACTTAATGTCTGAGGTTTGCCTTGGGCTTAGTCCTCCTCTGTAAACCCTGCAGACCCCAGATTCCAGCAGGCAGTGGACATTTCATGGACATTACATCTAGTTCAGTGCAGAGTGATGGTGGTTTAGTTAATTTTGACTCGTGAATCTGCCTCCTGTGGGTAACAGCAGCGAGGCTTCTGCTGCTGGAGCTGGAGGGCTGCAGCTTAAATTCCTATCCCAAGGCTGTCAGCCAGCTGGGCACCCATCAGAAGGGAACAAGGCTGAGACATCCTGTGTCTAGCCCACATCTAAGCAAGGTGGTTGCTGCCCCCAATCGCTTCCTTGCAGATAGAGTGCGTCTGAAGTCACTGCTGAGCAGATCTGGGGCCTCCGACTATTCCTTTGAAGCCACCTCTGGTGATTAAAGGAAAACTGTAACCGTTCCCCCTCTGCCGTTGCCTTGCTGTTTGACCTTGGGCAAGTCATTTAAATGTTCACAGTTGTTAAAAGGAGGTATCTTTTGTGACAGTGGAGGCCTAAGTCAGTGCTGAGGGGGGAAGGTGAGGGATCCAGGAAGGGAAATAATGTGTAGTTTTTGTGTGTGGTTGGCAGCCCCTCAGCTCCTGCGCCGCAGCGAGAGATGGGGAGCGATGCTTGAGGCTTTGTAAAAACCTTGTCATCACAAAAAAAAAACCCTCCTCGCCACACTCCCAGCTTCACCCGGTCACCTCTGCGTGGGTCAACTCGGCTGATGGCCAGAGGGGAGGAAAGAGAAAAGGGAGAAGGGATGGAGGGGAGATGCCTGTGCTCCGTGGAGTTGGGGAATGCTCATTTGCCCCCTGTTTGGTGGTAACGTGGAGGTTTCTCTCTGCCCAGTGGAGCTGTGGCAGGGCTGAGGGCCAGCACTGGTGGTTCAGCAGCTCCTCCTGGGCACACACCGTGCAGCCCGTCCAGCCCTGTGAGGTCTGACCCTCTTCACCAGGCATGGCCTCCAGCACGGGTTTCCTCGGGGGCTGAGGAGGGGGGTGAGTGTTGGGCTGGAGACATTCCCTGTAGGAGCTTTTTCCTCTCCCCTATAGTTGAGGCAGAGGATTTAGAGTGGGATCAGGCTGCAAAACTGGATTTTTACCACATTTCTCGTGATGGGTTCACTCTCTGCAGTTACACTAGGTCTCCAGGCAGGTGGGTATGGGGTTACAGCTTCCCCGCAGTCAGGGAGGGAGCGACTGGAGATAAACTCCTCCGCCTGCGTGTCTCACATTCTGCTGAGCCTCCTCCATCCCCAGGGACCCAAAACACTCAGGGGCTGCGCCGTGGTGGGACAGGAGGCAGAAGCTTCCCAGCAAACGAAGAGTACATGGCATGGTCCTGAAATGGGTCATGAAGCACGTTCAGGCCCCAGCGGGACTTGTTGTTCCTTGTCCCCAGGGAGAAACTCGATAGTGGCTCATTTAGGGTGAGAAGTGGGAGCGTACAGATCCTGAGAATTAGGCAGCAACTTGTTTTACTCCTGAACCAATGTCTGTGCAGGAGCTTAATGACTTGCTAACCCGTTCTACCTCTCCCAGCGTAACTGGGATGGTCTGTAGACCATCTTTAGCAAACCAGTGCTTTGGAGGACTAGATGCTGGTAACCTCGCAGGGTTTCTTTTGTTTGGAGGCTGACACAGTGGCAGGCTCATAGCAAAATACTCCTCCCTGAGCTGCTTAGCCCCTGTCCTGATCTGGTGGCCTCTCCCCTCTGGAGAAAGCTGGAGAGAGGGAGCACGTTACAGGGCAAATAAATGACTCAGACTAATGAGTAAGGTAATTGCCGTTCACTGTTAGATGAGGCTAAAGTGGGTCAGGTTTGTTTGTGAAACTCCACAGAGGCACCATCTGTTCCCTGCGCCCCGTCTCGGGGGCTGGAGGCAGGATTTGGGTGAAACTGCTGCGGGGCAGCGCGGAGGATGCCCCGGTCATTAGGAGGTGGTGCAGGTCCCTGGAGGTGACCCTCCGTGACTGCAGGCGAGTGCCTGCAGCCCTGCTCCTCGGAGGGGGACTCCTAATTGATTTCACTGGGAGAGGGGACCCGAAATCCTTTGTCTCTCTGCCACAACTGGACAGGATGAGGCTGGACAGGACACTGAGAGGTCATTAGACCTCCTTTAGCCCGAAGGCGGGATTGGATTTTCCCAAACCACGTCTGACGGGTGCCTGTATCACCTGTCACGAGCCCTCGGAGAGAAACCTGGCACCACTGGTTCGTGGCTTTTAGCCCCACCGCTCTCCCAGATGTCCTCTCGTTATCCTCCTGTGCCCACAAGCCAGTTGGGATGGGGACTGTCTCTCTCAGCGCTGCCGTGTGTGTGTAATACCTGTTTTTAGCCCTTTTCCCTGCCCTGGACCCCGCTGTGTCTAACAAGCTCTCTCTCTTTGCAGACCACAGCATGTGAGCAGAAGGGGAAGCCTGGAGAGGGATCCCTGCCTCGACGTCGCCGGGGCTGCATCTTGCAAGAAGAGGAAGAGGAAAAACCCCTTCACTCACCATTCCTGAAAATGGGAGGCAGCAGCTGCCCAGCAGAGCAGGAAGGGAAGCTCCAGACCGTGCCTGTGGGGCATCCCTGGGAGCGTGGCAGCCGTGGTGCCGCAGCGGTGTGTCAGTGAGGGCTGCCGGGGCGGCGCGGGGAGCCGGGGGGGCAGCATGCTCTTCCACAACCGCAAGACCCAGCTCCTGCTGGTCAACTCCCTGACGTTCGGCCTGGAGGTCTGCCTGGCCGCGGGGATAACCTACGTCCCTCCGCTGCTGCTGGAAGTGGGTGTGGAGGAGAAGTTCATGACCATGGTTTTAGGTAGGCAGGGGTTGTTTTGGTTGTTTTTTTTTTTCTCGTCTTTGAGGTGCTTGTTTCTTTGTTTTGGTTTTTTTTCTCGTCTTTGAGGTGCTTGTTTCCCCTTCGAGATTGGAGGGCAGGGAGGCTTGTCTCTGCAGGGTGGTGGCAGGGCTGCTGTTAGGTCAAGGGCAGCCTTGTGTTTGGAGGAGGAAGCTGTGACACAGTGGAGCTTACTGAATTCTTGAAACGTCCCAGTGTGTACAGTTTTTTACAGTGTGTACAGACCAGTGTCCCTCACATCTGTCCCCCTAACACCACCTTGTTTTTCTTCTCCAGGGATAGGACCTGTCCTTGGCTTGGTTTTTGTCCCGCTGATTGGATCCGCCAGCGACCACTGGCACAGCAGCTATGGCCGAAGGAGACCTTTCATCTGGATGCTGTGCCTGGGCGTCCTGCTGAGCCTCTTCGTTATCCCTCACGCCAGCAGCCTGGCCGGCCTCTTTGCCCTCAACACTCGCCCGCTGGAGATCGCCTTCCTCATCCTGGGCATCGGGCTCCTGGATTTCTGCGGCCAGGTCTGCTTCACACCGCTGGAAGCCCTGCTCTCAGACCTCTTCCAGGAGCCGGACAACTGCCGCCAGGCCTTCTCCATGTATGCCTTCATGATCAGCCTGGGGGGCTGCATCGGCTACCTGCTTCCAGCCATTGACTGGGGGGGCAGCTTTCTGGCCCTGTACCTGGGAGGGCAGGAGACCTGCCTCTTCAGCCTCCTCGCCGTCATTTTCTTCGGCTGTGTGCTGGCCACGCTCTTCGTGACGGAGGAGGCAGCCACCCAGGCAGATGTCCTGGATGGCCCCCAGCTGAAGGATGCTCCCCCGAAGCCCTCCCCTCCTGCCTGCTGCTCTTGCCAGCTCTCCCGGAGCTCCTGTCTCCTGCAGGCCAGGCGGGTGATGCAGGCTCTGAGAAACCTCTGCACGCTGGTGCCGCGGCTTCACAGCCTCTACTGCCGCATCCCCAAGGTCATCCGGCGCCTGTTCGTGGCCGAGCTCTGCAGCTGGATGGCACTTATGACTTTCATGCTGTTCTACACAGACTTTGTGGGAGAAGGACTGTACCACGGTGTCCCCAGAGCCAAGCCTGGCACGGATGCCAGGCGCCACTACGATGAAGGTGAGAAGTGAACCAGCTGCTCTGAGGCTGCAACGCCTGTTCCCTGGGACAGGGAGCAAGGAATGGGCTTGGATCTGTTAGTAATGCAAAAAAAAGATTACAGGAAACTAGGCTTTCTGCAGGTGGGTCAGGACAAAGCATTCTTCCCTGGGATAGGGAGCTAGAAATGGGCTTGGATCTGCTAGTAAGGCAAAAAAAAAAGGTTACAGGAAACTAGACTTTCTGCAGGTGGGTCAGGACAAAGCATTCTTCTGTGGCCCCCAGAGCGTTCACAGTGGCCCAAATGGGGGAACACCTCTTTGTCCTCCGAGCTACCCAGCACAGAACCAGATCTGGCAGCGCAGCCCTGGCCTGGGGCTGAATTGTTCAGTGGCAGAACGGTCTGGCAGGTTGTGTGCTGAGCAGGACGTATCCGGCTCTGTCTGTGGGCTGGGATTGCCCTGCCAGGTCCTTCTACTGCTGCTCTCTCCTTTCTGTTTGAGGGGTGATGGTGCTCCCCATCTCTCGGAGGGCAGGGGTTGCAAAGCCAGGACATGCTCACTAGGAGCAAAGCGGGCTTTGCTGCATTTTCCTTTTGTGCTACTGTGAGACTCCCCTCCCACATCTGTATGTGGGGAGCCCTCAAGCAGTTTCCCCAGTTCTCACCCCTCTCTCCAGTGCTTTCTGGTGGTGCTCACCACTGCAGACAGGAGCTGTGGTGTCCACATCATGGGATACTGCTCCCTGCAGCTCGTTACCTGCTTGCTGTTGTTGCCTGCTGTCCTGTTTTACCTGCTGTGTTGTGCCAGAGCCTTGACTCGCTGCCCAGCCCTTCTTTTCTTCTCCCTGATTTAAGTATTTCATTCTTGGAGGCACCTTCCTGGCCTCCTCCTCCTCCAGCTGTATATCTTTCTCTCTGAGTTTTCCACTCCCTGCTTCCCTGAGCTCTGCAGTACACTGCCTCTTTGTGCCGAGTGTCTATTTAACTTAGAGGGAGCTTAATTATTATTTAACGCTTGCGCTGTATAGCTTCCAGCAGGTCAGGGCTCCATTGTGTCACCTGTCATAGAAACATGCATTGAGTAATGATCCTTGCTTCAAAGAGTTAATAGCTGTATATCTTTCCCTCTGAGTTTTCCACTCCCTGCTTCCCTGAGCTCTGCAGTACACTGCCTCTTTGTGCTGAGTGTCTATTTAACTTAGAGGGAGCTTAATTATTATTTAACGCTTGCGCTGTATAGCTTCCAGCAGGTCAGGGCTCCATTGTGCCACCTGTCATAGAAACATGCATTGAGTAATGATCCTTGCTTCAAAGAGTTAATGGTTTTAATTCCCTGAAATCTGATAGATCTTTACAAAGGGTAAGGTCCGGATTGCTACCGGATACTGCAGCCGTTGAGTGGATGTTGTGTACTTTACCTTGGCTTAAGCACAATTCCTTGTTCCTTTTGTTCTGCTGCTGGTTCTGGCATCAGATAACAACAGATCCTGGTTCATGAGCGGGTGACAGATCCTGGGTGAAGAGTAGGAAGGTGGGAACAGGGACTTCTAAAGACCAGAACGGCATTTGGGTTCCTACCTCCCATCACCCTTTTAGTTAGACTGGGGTGCCCAGGAGCACGTGTAGGAAGCCCTTCCTAGAGGGTGGGAGCTGCAGACAGAGGCTGGTGTGACCCTGGGCTGTGTTAGGTGATGCTGCTCTGCTTCCTGACCCAGCCATGTGGCTGCCAGGGCTGTTTGCAGCTGTGCCACGCTCTGCATGGACTCCTGAGTTGGGCACGAAGGAGAGGGAAGGAGGCCCCAAAGCTGGGTGAAGCCTGGGCACGGTCAGGGCAGTGTCTCACCACCTCTGCTTCCCTGCAGGTGTCCGGATGGGTAGTTTGGGCCTCTTCCTGCAATGTGTCACATCACTCGGCATGGACTGTCCTGAGTTGGGCACGAAGGAGAGGGAAGGAGGCCCCAAAGCTGGGTGAAGCCTGGGCACGGTCAGGGCAGTGTCTCACCACCTCTGCTTCCCTGCAGGTGTCCGGATGGGTAGTTTGGGCCTCTTCCTGCAATGTGTCACATCCATCTTCTTTTCGACAATCATGGACCGGCTGGTGAAGCAGTTTGGGACGCGGACGGTCTACCTGGCCAGCGTGGTCTTCTTCCCTCTGGCTGCCTTCGTCATGTGCCTTTCCCACAGCGTCATCATCGTTACCATCTCAGCTGCTCTGACGGGCTTCACCTTCTCTGCACTCCAGATCCTGCCCTACACACTGGCATCGCTGTATCATCATGAAAAACAGGTAGGGATGTGCTCCAGAGGGCCATGTGCCGGGTGGCTCTCACCAGCTTCACCAGCCTCTTCTGCCACTTGTAGCTGGGACAGTCAGTCCAGCCCATGGAAGAGAAACATGTGCCTGTGTACAAAGGTTTTCCACGTCTGCCTCCTGTCTCCAGGCCATGTCTCCTCTGAAATGGAGGAGATAAGAGAGTTTAGCATCTCCTTCCTTAGGCAAGCCCTGCTCACAATAAGAATTACGCAATTTTAAAAAGTGGCAAGTGGGTAAGATGGGAGAAATCAGCTGGGATTGGTGTATTGAAAGGGATGTCCTGTGTTTGTTCTCTGTTCTGCGTATTTTTAGGGGAACATTCTGCCCCCGAGTCACATCTGCAGCACTGCCAACCTGAGGTGCTAAAAACCTCAAGAATTTTCAGCCCTTAGAGCCCCTGCTTTCCAGTTTTTGTCCATAGCGTGAAGATGAGTAAAATGAAAACTGAGTTTCTTCCCATTCCCCTAGCTCCGAGAAGAATAAACATTGTGAAACTTTTGACACCAACACAAAAGCTAGTAATCCTGTCCCACAGATGTTATCCTTGTGGAGAAGTCCTAGGAGGTTCCTGAGTTGCACGCTGGATTAATAGGAGTTTCTCTTGCGCTGCAAATGCAGAATTAATTTGTGGTTTGAGAGCAGCTCTTTCATCCCAATGGCAGGCAGTGAAATAAGTAGGAGTTTTTACCACAGGCATCCAGATGTTCACATTGAACAAATACTTCTGACCAACCCATCCCAATTTGCACCAGGCACCCTGTAAAAATAGGGGTATGAGGGAGGGTTCTGCTTTGCAAAAGCTTCGGTTTGGCTGGGATCTCCCATGGACAGAATATCAACAGAATGGAAACCAAACTGCAGGCTGGGGGTGTGAAGGCCACATACCCAAATGTTTGTCAAAGGGTTGACAGGGAAACACTCATAGCACAATGAGGTGTGGGGTAGAGCTGGGTTTGGTCTCTCTATTGCCCTAACTTGAAAGTTCCTCCTTCCTTTACCAACTACTTTGCAGCAGGCTGCAGGGAGACCCCACAAGAAGTAGTCCCTAAAATGCCTTTTGTAGAAAATTCTCCATCTTCCCCATTTCTATTCTCTTCTTCTTTACTTACTGTTGAAATCTGTCATTGTTTTTGTTTGCCTTCCCTCATTCCTGCTTCCTCCCTTTATTTTCTTTCTTTCTTTTTTTTTTTTTTTTAAACTTTAAACACTCCTCCCAAAGCAAATCAGCAGAAAGGGCATCCAAAGAGGCTGTTGCTTCCACCCTGTGGAATCGTTGGTGACAGCCTGCAGGGCCACCTCGGCTGGAGCTCCTTGCTTGGCACAGGCTGTGTAAGGGACTCCATCCTCCTGCCTGCCCTCTCCTCTCTGTGTGGCCACTAAACCTTGTCTAGAGCAGGAGGAAACGATCTGAATGTCCTAACAGTGCCTGAGAGCTCGGTGGAGGTGGGGTGCGTGGTGGGCTCTCCCATCTCCTGCAGGACATCGGGGAGAGGTGGGTTCCTCATTCCCACCACTCCCCATCAACTGTAGAGGGATGTGAAGCTGCCGATGGAGCCGAGGTGCCTCCACTGCTTTTTTCCTGTGTTACAAGGGTTGGTTTTAAAGCACAGGTTCTCACTAAGCTCATTCCTGTGATTATGTGATTAAGTCATTTTCTCTACATTTAAATTAATTCTCCACACTAGGTGTTCAAACACCCTTGACAGAACTTGTATCTCTGAAGAGCACAGAAGTTTTTGCCCCTCTGCCCCTCCACCTCGTTTGCTGCACCCTCCTTCTGCCTGCTCGTCCCTCACCTGCCCTCCTTCTTTCCCCTAGGTATTTTTGCATAAATACAAGAGCAAAGAGGAGGAAGACGCAGCTCGACTGAACAAGAAACCAGCCTTCTCCAAAGGCCTCCTTTCCAGCCAGAAGCTGCCTTACCAGAACGGACATGCTGGGAGCCTCTTCTCCTCCTCCTCCTCTTCCTCCTCCTCGCCCCCGGCCGCCGGCTCGGCTCTGTGTGTCACCTCCTCCTGCGAGGTCTCCCTCATGATGATGGTGGGAGAACCGGACTCGGTGGCTCCGGGCCGAGGGATCTGCCTGGACCTGGCTATTTTGGACAGTGCTTTCCTCCTCTCTCAGGTTGTCCCCTCCCTCTTCATGGGGTCTATCGTCCAGTTTACGCAGTCGGTGACGGCCTACATGGTGTCAGCCGCCGGCCTCGGCCTGGTAGCCATTTACTTTGCAACCAAAGTTGTCTTTGATAAGAGTGACATGGCCAAGTACTCGGTGTGACGTGGAAGGCACAAGGGCAGGGTGCAGGTGCCTGCTTGTGACCAAACGAGACGTGTGTGTGTTCACATGGCCGCTTATGGGGTACCATATGGGGTACCTGCTCTCCCCACCCTGTTGCTCGTAGCCCTGGGGGGCTACTTGTGGGGCTGGGGGCAGGAGAGATGCAGTGGGGCGAATCTCAGGTGTAAATACGAGGCATCGGGGCATTGTGCTTCGGGCCCTAAGTGCTTTCCAAAGGTGCCTTTATCAAAAGAAAGCACTGCACAGCCAGCACCAAAGGGGGTTGTACAGGGGAGAGAAAGGAAATGGGCTTTTCCTTTAATAACGGGTCGTGTTTCTGTGTAATTCTACCTAAACCAAGCTGGGGAGGGGAGGAAGGAATCATCGGCTCTCCTGTTTTCCAGTTATAGCTGTGTCCTCTTCCCCGGCTTGTTGTCGTTTTACTCAACTTCTTGAGCAATACTTCTGCAAATAGGACACTGGGAGGAGATTTCCTTGGAAAAAAAAAAAGACAGGTGGCTAAGGTTTGGCCACGGAGCAGAGGGGGTGCACGTGTGCGTACGCTTCCGTCCTTCCCCACTTCTTCTGACCGGGAGAAACCATTCAGGAGAAAAGTTACTATGTCTTGTTTTAGAAAAACAAGTAACATTCCATTAGGACCAATTCCAAAAGGTGACTTATCTTTTACCTATGTACCAAGTTGCATTAGGTGGAAAGGACTTCTTAACTATTTTTTTTTAAAAAAAACAATTCTTTTTAGCTTTTCTTACACAGTTCTCAGTAACTGTGATCTCTATTGCATCAGGTGGAAAGGACTTCTTAACTATTTTCTTTTAAAGACCAATTGTTTTTAGCTTTTCTTACACAGTTCTCAGTAACTGTGATCTCTCACTCCTCAGAGCTCAGAACTGCTGCCTGCTCTCTCCTCTAACAGATCTAGACTCTTGTGCCTCTTCCCCACCTGGCCACTAAAAGATGCTGCTCTATCACAAGGAAAACCTGTTCTCGGAGGGTTTTCAGTCCTGTGCTGATGAAGTAGAACAGGGAGAGCTCTCCTGGAAGGCTACCTGAGAACAAGGGTACTGGGGGGGGTGATGATGAAATAGAACAGGGACCTCCTGGAAGGCTACCTGAGAACAAGGGTACCATCCCTGAGGAAGATGATGGCTAGTTGAATTCAGCAGCAGTCACTGCTCCAGCAGGTACCCAGAGTTGGTCACTGGCTCTGTCTGTTTTCCCTCAAAGATGTGGCCACAAAATAACCTTCTAGACCAGACTCTTCCTTCCTTCCAGACAGGCTTTGGGCCATGCTGGCAGGAGCACACCTTGCAGAGCACCCTGCATCCCAGCACGGTGGCTGGGTTAACACCTTGCCAGCCCACCCAGAGCGCTGGAAACAGGACCATGAGTGGGAGGTAGGGAGGACAAAATGTGCCCACAGCCCCTCTGGCAGCTGCTGACTGGTTCTTGGTGTGTTGGACAAAACCCAGAGCAGGACAGCAACTCTTGATGCAGTTTGTGCCTCTCATTTGCCGATCCAGGTTACATATTTACTGTTACACTTGTTTGGGATTTTTTTTTTATTTATTTTGTTGTATTTCCAGCCAGGAGTCAAGATGCTTATTGAGGCAGTTACCTGTTAGAGAAAGGCAAAGTCCCTCTTGCTCCCACAGTGCTGGGACCAAATCCTCTTGCCTTCTTCAGGTCATCTTCCACTGGCAGAAGTGTCCCATCTGTGTGTCCCTCTGCCCGGTCCCATTCTCCATCCGAGTGGACCAGCTGGAATAATTCTGCTGGTGGCAGGTTTCTACTGCCCAAAGACTACCCACACACCAAGTGGGAGTCGAGGTCCTGGCCCACAGTCAGCACTTTAACTTTGAAATGGTCCACATGTTGCCTGCATGGATGAGGAGCATGGGTTGGACGTTGGTTGGAGCACAAGTTGTTGGACAGCCCTTGGCTTTGGCTGCTCTAAACAAAGTGTTTGTGACGAATTTTTCGGCGGAGGTGTGTGGGCAGCGGGATGTGCTGCTGAAGGGCAATGTGTTGCTATTTTCTGCAAGGTCCTGCCAGACTGTTCCTCGGCAGGGGGGCCGGGTTACTCCCCTGCTGTCTGCAGACGGGTCCGGAGAGGGCTTCTCCGAAGTTTTTTAAACATTTCTTTCCCGTAAAGGGTGACTGTTTTTGTTTTATTTCTTCTCAAATTATATGCCTACCAGCCTCCCTTTCCCACAACAAGGTTTGCGTGCTGAAGTGCAGCTGTTTTGGGGATGGATTTGGCAGCTGCTTAACCACCTACAGAAGGAGTTTTTTCGTCTGTGCTTCCTACCCTGGTCTGTCCACTCACGGCTTCAGGAGGAAGTCTTTGAGGCAAAATGTTGTTGCCAAAGGTGGGGTGTTTCTTGGCTGAATGCTCCTAGTGATCAATAGCCTCTGACCCGAGAGTTTCCAAACAGGTCTCCCTACCTGAGTGCTGAAGTATCCTTTGTTTTTATTTTTTTTTTCTAAAGTAGAATTTCACTAAATTTCACTAAATTTCTAGAGTTGGAAGGGACCATAGAGATCATCTAGTCCAACTCCCCTGCTGAAGCAGGATTGCCTAGAGCTAGAGCATGTTACTCAGGAGCATCCAGGCGGGTCTTGAAAATCTCCAGAGAAGGGGACTCCACACCCTCCCTGGGCAGCCTGTTCCAGGGTTCCGTCACCCTCACTGGGAAGAAGTTTCTCCTCATATTTGAGTGCTGGGAACGTTCACACACAGGCTGCTGTGATGATTAGTGCTTTTGATAATTGAGCCATTTGTTTTAAGTGCCTAAAAGAGTACTTCCACGCTGAACTTCAGGTGTACGGGTTTGATGATAAAGGCCTTAACATCCAAGTGATCCTTGAAAAAGCAGCGGGCTGGTGGGGGAAACAGCCTTGTTTTATGATGCCTTTTGGTTTGGAGCATGAAAGAGGCAGATGCTGCAGTTCTTGATCCTTAACTTGTGTCTGTCCCTGGAGGAGGAGGCTTGATTAAGCCAGATTCCCCGAGTGACCTGCCCTCCATGCTCTCAGGTGGCTTTGGTGCAGCTGTAGCTGGTGGACACAAGGAGGTTTGAGCTCAGGGAACATGTAGGAGGTTCTGTGTCGTGGTGGAGCTGGAGGGCTTGGGGTTAGGCAGTGGAGGTCAGGTCTCAGACCTGGCCTTCGCCAACAGACCAGATGTGCCCTTGGCCTCCCTGTTCTCCTGGCCACCATGAGCTGGGTCATGGACTTGGCACCCAGATCTCCTTGGCCGGTCTGGTGTCTGCAGCCAGAGTGCTGGCTCTGATCTCCCTGGTCCTAGAGGAGGGCAGACTGGGTTTGGCCAGTTTTCTCATAATTCAGACATGCTTCTGGGAGGAGGTGCCTGCATTTACTTCATTTCTGTTCAGAAAAGAGACCGCTGAGACTCGTGACTCCGCAGGCAGCTGCTCTCACTCTCTGCTGCTGCGTCCCAGACGGGTGCCCGTTGTCTTGCTCTGGCCTGACCTGTGGCTGGATTGATAACGGGGCTCGTTCTCCATTCCAGCTGGAGAGACACGACCCAGTCTGAACTGGGGGCTCCTCATCCACTTGTCCTCTGGCTGCACTGCTCTTCTTCTGGCCAGTTCTGCGAGTACAAGAAGAGCCACTTCATTATCCATCAGGAGACTCTTTGAGTTCTCCCCTTCCCCCTGGCACTACTCTTCTCCTTTCTCCATCTGGAGTGAAACCCAGCGGGTTCAGTAATTGCTCCTTTCCATCTTACCCTCCTCTTGCTCCTGGAGAAGTCTCCTGGGCCCTTTGCCAGCTGCTGCCAGGGTGGGCAGATGGGTACGGGAAGGAGCATTGGCCAAGCCCCAGCTCTGCCTTCCCTGGCCCTGTCCCTCATGGGAGTTCAACCCAAACACATTTTAGGCTGTTTTCCCCAGGAGCGGCTATTCACAGGGGGAGAGCCAGGTCCTGGGTGGGTGGTGGGACGGGGAACTTCTGCCTAGGAATTCAGTGGGGAGGGAAGAGACAGCAGCAGTTGCAGAGGAGAATGAGTTGAGATTGGGGCGAGGAAGCAGGAGGAAGAGGGGTTTGGGGGAACTCAGGGGTTTGCAGCAGGGGCTGGTGTGGGGCACTGGAGTGGGTGGGAGCACCCTCCTTGATGTGGCCTTGCCCCATCCATAAAGCACTTCGTAACCCTTCACGATGGCAGCCTCCTGGGTGCGTGGTCCCAGCCCCAGCCAGGAGCTGGTGGTGAGCTCTGAGCTTGGGTCCTGAGCTGGGTCTGGGGTCTGAGCTGAGATGGTTCTGTTGTCTCCAGACCCACAAAGGACCCATTCACTGTCACTGCAGTGGCCCTATCCATGTGCTCTGTTACCAAACCCCTTTCTTCCTAGTCCAGGCTGTGGCTGGGGCTGTCAGGAGAGGCATTTTCCAGAGCATCTGGTGAGAAACTCCTTTCTTTGTATGATGGTCCTTTCTGGCTAACCTGGTGTGTTCCCGTGGGGAACAGCTTCCCGTGTGTCACGTGTAGAGCAGGAAGGGACCAGGCGTGTTCTAGTGAAGGTACGAGCATCCCTTACACACTGATATGACCCATGTGGACACGGAAACCTCTCTAGGGCTTGATTTTTCTTGCAAGACTTGGAGCTGTGGCTTCAAGAGGGAGGTCCCCATGACCATCTCAGGCAATGGGTGCACTTGTGGTTTCTTCTCCCGGGTGAAGAAGCCGGGGGGGAGCTTCTGTGAGCGGGGGG